TTCTGTATAGTTATCAAGTTATTAATACCTATACTAAGTACTGATCATGACATACACACTAAATGATTCTATAAGATTTTACGAAAGCGAATTCTGTGTACAAAATAATACAATAGAGTTTCTTCTTTTTGAATTCACAAAACAAAATCTCACTTGTCCTGTAAGTTGTCTGTTTTCGTGACATCATCTTGACTGGCAACAATCAGACTGTACCAACATGAAAGGGGTGTGTGTTAGGCCAAAAGGAAGTCAGGACATATGTTTGCGAGCAGAAAACTAGTTACTAGCATTTAACAAGACAACCTTGTATCGGTTGTTTGCTAGTCTAAATACAAACATCTACATCTATACAGAAACGACCTTGCACATTTCTGTTTTTGGGACAGCAGAATTTTCCATACTGTAGAGAATTAATTACAGGTCAGAGCAGCACATAATTGGTGTACGTTTCTCCACTTCATTAAGTCTATATCCAAATCCTCTTGAGTTGTTCAGCGTGTCGTCTATCCTACTGAGACGAGAAATCTACTTTTTTTAATTAAACTTTATTATTTACAATGTAACAATAAAAGAGATACATAGTTGACATACAATCGTACGGAATGATACATAAGAAACTAGTTCCACGATCTCATACCTTCGCCAAATGAGGTTAGCCTTTATGGCTAAGAAATTATAGATTAATTACTGATTGTGCAAATGGGATCCTATATTGCATCAATTATATCTGTAGATCATATTCTACACCAGAAGACAGTCTTATGTTATCAAAGAATGCCATTATAGTATTTCCTCATAAATTATGCAAATGAGGTCCTTATTTGAATAAGTTATGTTTAATTATGTTCACCTTTACATAACTTTCAAATATCCCAAGTATGAAATTCCAGGCAGTTACCACTATGTAATTATAACATTTTCTCATTAATTATGCAAATTAAGTCCTCATTTGCATAATTGATATCTGCCTGTATTTCTGCCGTTCTCAATTACGTATGACACATGCTTGAATAGTCCTATCATGGAATGCAGCTGATTAATAGCCTTTCCTCATTAATTATGCAAATTACATCAATATTTGCATAATTGTAATATCATTATGTCAAGCATCACTTCAGCTACCTACATGCCAAAAATCACGACGATCCATCCAGTGGTTCTTGAGTTATCAGCCTTTAAACATTTTTCAACTAACGCCCCTGCAGTTCCAGAGCAAGCAGCTAGGGGGCCCAAACGCACGTCACTTCTTCCCCAGCACAAGAGCTACATACCATGCAAATTTCGTCACCCCAGCATGTCTAGATCATGAGATATCAAAACCGGAAGTTCAGCTGCAGTACCATAACAAGCCGCCAGGTGGCCCAAAATCTAATCAGTTCGAGCTCTCATCAAGACCTACCCACCTACCAAATATCAAGATAATCCATATAAGCTTTCTCGAGTTATGCTGTTGACAGACAGACAGACAGACACACACACACACACACGGCCACGAAAACATAACCTTCTCCAATTCTTGGCGAAGGTAACAAAGACGTTTTAACAGGAGTTATCTAGATAGATATCAAGTAAAATGTTGCCATTGTTTGTTATGTTCTATTTCTATCGTTTTGTTTAGTCTGTTTCTGAAAAATGTAACCTACTTTTGTATAGAAAGGCTATGTTGAAATTTGTCATATAAAATAGCCAAAATTTACCACACATGTATCTTCTAACATGACGGAAATATACAAACTTGTTAAGTTATTTAGACTATCCTTCATTGCGTGTGGCGTAGCGGCTTGACTCGGAACCAAGAGGTCCCGGGTTCGAGTCCTGACATGCCACCGATCTTGTGCCCTTGGGAAAGGCACTTTACACGTGGGAAAGGCACTTTACACGACTTTCCTCACTTAACAAGTGTCCTGCCCTGTATTTGTATCTGTGTTGGTGGTGGCATAAAATAAGTTGATATAACTTGATCTATGAGTCTACCGTCCCCATGTTTCGTCATGAAATGTTGGAATATAAAAAAAAAATTGCCGTTTATGTGACGTTGTAAAATCGTCTCTAAAAACAACACTCCACTTTTTCAGTACTTCAAGTGTTATTACAAGTCAAATACATGAGAAATTGTGGTGTTAAGAACCATGAAGATAGATATGACCATGTAACCTTAATTCCACAACAAACAATAAAACATATCTTTACCAGAACACATGCATCTGTACTAAGTATGGTGTACAGAGAAACCTAGTCTAAATATATTGGACGTTTTGCGTGTCTGGCGATGCTCATACAGTCTCTACCCTAAAGTTCTAGTTCTATCATTCAGTTTGCAAATCTCAATTCCAATGTGCTTCCGAAATCTGTCATGATGATTATGTTTACCGATGGAAAACATATAGTTTTTGCTCTGTTTCCTCTTCTTCTCCCAACCAGTAAGGTCAATGACCTGCACCAGACGTCTGTCACCATGGCATCATGTTGCAATTTTACAGCAGGAGGGATTTCGACTCCTGTCTGACCATATTATGAATGTGTTTGAGTAAGAATTAATATAGCAGATCATATGCGAAGGTAACATTATGTATTTGCTTGCAAATGTTACCTTTCTAGCTATCCATAGGTTAACTTTGCCCTAACGATTGCCTCCTTTTCGTGGCCAAATAAGGTTACTTTTTCTTGAGAAGCTTCTTCATTTTCTTCCCCAGGGATCGGTTCGGTTCTTTCCTCCCCTCCGTATCGTCTGTGGTCCAGTCAGAATCGCTCCTCTCCTCCGCTACAACCGAAGGATCTCTTCTCAGTGCCCCGGCCCGCTGGCCCTGGGTTTTCCTCTTCCTTTGCAGAATCGCTTTGAACTTCTTCATGTGAGATTTACTCTTGGAGCCGTCCTCAGGGTCGGATGACGTCAGTGATGAGGTGGTCACGTGACTCAGGTTGCTGCTGGTGCTGAGAATACTCGCGATGCTGGTCTTTCGTCGGGCGTGGTGCCGACCGTTGCCATGGTGATCACCGTGATCTTCGCTTGGCGCCAAAAAGTCGTCTGTGGTCTTGTCATCCATAGACCGGCCGTTGCCATGGCGATCACTCTGGGCCTCTCTTGGCGCCAAAACGTCGTCTGCAGTCTTGTCGTCCTCTCTGTTCTCTGAAGAAATTTCCTCAGAATTGTTCAGTCCAAGGAAAGAGAAGTTTAACGCACTTTTGATTCGATCTGCCAGTGTCACTACTTCGTGCTGGTCTGGCGAACTGGTTTCGACCGGTTCATTCCCGTTCTGTTGTGTCGTGCTGTTTCTGTCGTCTCCATTTTGAATCTGGCCTTCTACGTGCACCTGTGGGGCGCGACGTTTCAACCAATCAGAGCGCGCGGATTCGTCTGGATCTGACGGCCCGTTCTCCTCTTCCGAATTCCCGGCATGCACCTCTGCAATGGTCTCGTTTACTCCATCCTCTTCTGCCCACATATTGCGCAGGCGCGTGCGTGTCGCCTCTCTGTCACGTTTGAACTTTTCAATTTCACCTTTCTTGTCCTCTGACATGAGACCCAGATACTTCTCTGATACGCTCATACGCCTACTTTTCTTGTCAGACAACTCTTTGTCTTTTAATGTATTGGCCGAAAGTTGCGATGTTTTGTTTTTCGATTTTTGTCTCTCAGAATCGTTATGGATAGTTGCAGTTGATTTGTGTGGATTTGTGACATCCGAATGATGCCCTACATCGGGACTCTTCTTTCCTTTTGAAGCCAGTGTCTCTTTGGTCTCACCGTCTTCTCTTAGTATCGAGAAAATTGACTTACGGCGCTTCTTCTTATCATTGTCATTTTGAGATGCTTGCTTGGCGGTTTCATCCACGCTAAGCTTACGCTCAGTACGTTTATATTCCATCGGGACCTGGACGATTGGAGTTTCTTGCTCACTTGGCGCGCTGCGCGGATTGTGTTTGACTTTGTTGACGAATGACGACCACAACTTTTCTTTCTCTTTCCCGTTTCTTCTCGGCTTGTCTGTTGGTTCTCCGTGTCTGTGAGCGTCGGTCGCTGGAATTTTCACTCCTTTCCTTGTTTTGAGCTTGGTAACCGTCTCCTTCCATCTGTGGTGGCTTTTGACGTCGTGTTCCTTAGGTGTTGTTGTAACTGCGGAAGGTGTCAATGACGCTTCTTCGGCGGGCGTAGACGTCGGTGCCGCCGCAGAGAACCCCGAGCGATGTCCCCGGACCCATGCCCCATCCAGGCTCCCTATAAAATCATGGCTGCTCAAGTCAGGATCATTTGCCGGAGTAAACACGACGGTTCTCTGGCTGTTGACTGGACTCTCCGTCGGCGTTGGTTCTGGCAAAACCTCGGCGAGGTACCTGATCATTTCTGGGTAGAGCTCCACGATCTCTCGTTCCGTCCCACACTCGATCAGGTGCTCGAAAAGAGCCAGGGTGTCCCGCCTACTGGTGCCGAATCCCCCGTGGGCTGACATGTAGGCCGCTTTTTCAGCTTCTATGTCCCTCCGAATTTCAGACGCCATTTTGCCCACCTGATCCTCCAGCAACCTTCTGCGGCGTGCGACTTGCATAGCGACGTCGTGGAGTTGCCTTTCGGCTTGTTCTCTTATCATCTGGCGGATGGTCTCGATGTATTCCTCCGCTGTTCTCTCTGGGTCGAGTCTCGTCGCACGTTCGGTTGCCTTTGCCAAGGCCTCTCGGCGAGACTGCGCCAAGGTCGCGAGGTCCGTGACGTCATGCCGTCGGTGGACGTCGCTGACGCATGCCCGGCAGATCTCAGCATCGCAAGTCTCGCAGAAAACCTCGCGAGAAAGTCCGTGGAAGTGGCAGGTGGAAGAATCATTCCCCGTATGTCTCTCCCGCAGGTGGTGAGAAGTGCACCTGTGGCACAGTAACTCCTCACACTCCTCACATCGCCGGTTTACCGGAGCGGTCAGCCGGTCCGGGGTGGGGATGTCGAACTCACGGTCCCGACAATAATGTCGCAGATACCCGTTCTCCTCTTGTGCTCTGATAGAAGAACTCCCCTCCGCAATCCTTTTCAAGAAGTCGTAACTTGTGCTCTTAAGTCCGTCCAGACCGTCTTCGGGAAGGGAAAAGGTTTGTTGACAAGACGGACAGATGATGATGTTGACGTGGTGCCGGTGGTTGCTATAGGCAACCAAACAGGGTAAACAGAAGACGTGCCAACAGGGGAGGACGCACGGGTCATCCAGCGGGTCGTCACACAGGTCACAGACGATAAAGTCAAACTCGTCACCGCGCTCTTCCACAGGACCGGTCGCCATAGCAACGGAAACGGTGCAGCTGATTGGTGGAATTCAGACCAATGTAGAATGTGTCGGTGCAGCTGATTGGTGGAATTCACAGATCGCAGACGATAAAGTCAAACTCGTCACCACGCTTTTCCACAGGACCGGTCGCCATAGCAACGGAAACGGTGCAGCTGATTGGTGGAATTCAGACCAATGTAGAATGTGTCGGTGCAGCTGATTGGTGGAATTCACAGATCGCAGACGATAAAGTCAAACTCGTCACCGCGCTCTTCCACAGGACCGGTCGCCATAGCAACGGTAACGGTGCAGCTGATTGGTGGAATTCACAGGTCGCAGGCGATAAAGTCAAACTCGTCACCGCGCTCTTCCACAGGACCTGTCGCCATAGCAACGGTAACGGTAGAATGTGTCAGTGCAGCTGATTGGTGGAATTCACAGGTCGCAGACGATAAAGTCAACCTCGTCACCACGCTCTTCCACAGGACCTGTCGCCATAGCAACGGTAACCGTAGAATGTGTCAGTGCAGCTGATTGGTGGAATTCAGATCATTCTAGAGATTTGGTCGTGTTGTAGTGTCACATTCATTACAACATTTCCGATGTAAACATGCCCTGGTCGGTGTGCTTCGTAGAGGTGAGGACGTTCTAGTAATTCGAAAGGAGAGAAAAAATCGTTAATCAGTTCTTCCAGCAGTTACTACCATTGTGCTTTGGGAACATAGTAGGGGATTTTGAAAACAGCAAAAGATGCTAAAAGCTGCTCTAGAAACAGTGTTAGCTAGTAGACCTTGAGATAGAGGCTAGAGTCAGGCAGGCCTTCGAAAAGTACTCTCCAACATTCTTTTTTTGCACAAAAAAAAATAACAGTGCAAAAAAGGAAGCCAAAAATGAGCCAAAATCCAAACCTCTGCTTGGAGAGTATTCGACAAAAACGGGGGGGGGGGCTGACCACGGCATAAGGTCAACAATCTGTCCCGGATACATGTAAGCGAGTTTCATGGATGTAAACATAAACAGGAATGATGACGGATGTTGTACAACCGTCTGATGTGTCGGGCAGATTATTCACCAGTTTCACATTTCCATGACGCATTGCGTCAAACCTTCCCAGGTTTCATAGCGCCTTGTGACCTGAATTATGTGTTTCTGTGGTGTTTTTACATTCGTTGATGACAGAAACTAAAACAATTAAGGTTTCTCCCTTAATATTTATGATAAAAATATACTACAACGTCTGTTGAATTACATGTATTTCGAGCAATATAGTCAAGTCAAAAGTTGTATCTCCGGTACAGGATAGTTTTACCACCTTAACGTTACAAACCACATTTACATGTTAAAAAGAACAATTCATTCTCTATTTGTTGTCAGATTCGACCCATAGTAAGTCATTTAATGTTGAACATAATGCAATAAACCTCTTCTCATTTGAGGTACTTTACCCCCCCCCCCCTTGATTTGGCACATAATCGAATTTTTTGGTTTTACGTTTGAACAACCTGCTTGGTTCAAGTTGAGATTAACAAGCTACACATAAGTAGGGACTGAGACATGCAAATAAGCTGGGTTTACATTCCAGACTTTAAATAAGGGGATACATGTATACCTGATGAAAAGCTATCCACTGTGGCAAGCGTCCCTTTTCTTCTAATGATTTTTCCCAGTAATTGTGTATAATGATTGCCCGTGGCGTTATGTACAGGTACAGAAATTAGTCTACCAAAAGCTACCCGAGTGTTCATATTTGCAATTGTAAATGATACGAATATATAATACTTTTTCAGGGGTGCCAGAGTATACAGTGCAATTTTACGGAATACAGTGCAAGTTTACTAGTATACAGTGCAATTTTACGGAATACAGTGCAAGTTTACTAGTATACAGTGCAATTTTACGGAATACAGTGCAATCGTACTAGTATACAGTGCAATTTTACGGAATACAGTGCAATCGTATTAGTATACAGTGCAATTTTACTAATGACGTTGTTATGACGTAATCTGTATTCTAATACGATTGCACTGTATTCCGTAAAATTGCACTGTATACTAGTAAAATTGCACTGTACACTAGTAAAATTGCACTGTATACTAGTAAAATTGCACTGTATTCCGTAAAATTGCACTGTATACTAGTAAAATTGCACTGTATTCCGTAAGATTGCACTGTATACTAGTAAAATTGCACTGTACACTAGTAAAATTGCACTGTATACTAGTAAAATTGCACTGTATTCCGTAAGATTCCACTGTATACTCTGGCACCCCTGTTTTTGCAGGGCGTACAATTCCACACATGTGTATACTGTTTCTGAGTATAGCGTCGACATGTTAGCATGATACAGTTCAAAACCTGGACCAAAAAAAAACACAACAGAGGTTGTGATCAATCTTGTAATTACGTCTGACAATTAAAAGACGAAGAAAATTCTAACCCAAGACGGTCTATCCGGTTTTCTCTTTCTTATGTTGTACGTATATGTAGGGAAACGTCCTCCCCCCCCCACACACACACAACACACACTATTTATATTTCAGTATTGTCCTCTTCTTAATCCATCACCCTATATTACCCTATTATTCTTCTCCAATAGCCAAGCAAATTGAAAATATGTAGTAGACGACAGCTAAAGAATAGAATATAAAGTCTTACCTGTTGTCTATATTGGTCCCAAGCAACGCACCTAAAATGTTCAGCACCTCAAATGCCGGACTTAAACAGTTTTGCACAAAACTGACGTCTACCCACAGGTAAATATCACCATACAGTAAGGCTATGGCAAGATCCTAGATTTTAGATCTTTAGTTCTGGAAGCCTTCCTTCACACGTCACACGTTTTTCGTCCAGCACACAAAAGATCGACGTAGTTAGAAGACAGTCCATTGTGGTTGAAACTGGCTGCAAACAAGCCCCACTGTTTTGTATAACCGATCGCAAGCTTCTATTTACGTTACCGCTATATTATTGGGCTTAGTTACTGCGCACCGAACATTTGGGGGGTGTTTTCTGAAAACATTTTCGTGAACGTGAACTTCGGCGTTTGTGACGCTCAAAACACATTCCTAAAGTTGCCCTCTCATAACATCTAGACTTGTTGACACACAGTCGGACATTTAATCAACCTTGTTTTGTTCTAGGGAATATTGAGTTATGTGTGCAGCGAAAAATACGGACCCTCCCTTAGGTTTAGAACCGTGTTACGTGGCACATGAAGTGGTATGTCCCGACTATCTTTGGAGCCGCTACCGTAAATATGTTAAGCCTGTTTTACCGCGGCAAAAGAGGGGATGACAAAGGTCCAATACCGGTGCAAACTGTTCGTTAATTACGTTAAATGGCGGTGACCTCTAGTAACTGTTGTCAAGGTCAAAGAAGGGCAAGTAACAAGCTTTTCAGGATTCCTCAAGGATGATAAGATTATCTTCCTAAGAAACTGGAGAGAGGTGTGGTAATCTTATTACATTTGTCTTCCTGTACTTTACTTAGAAATAATCGCCTTGGCTGTTGTTACGGACACTTGATAAAGCCAGGAACAACGACAGACATAAAAAGTCAGAAACGACAGAAAAGAGCGTTGTTAACATGATTATTGGAGAGAGGAATGTATCATTAGGCAATTTTTGTCCAGACGTAAGGCCATGTTGATTTGATTATATGGATGACATCCGCGCGCGCATGAAGTTTCGGCCGTTTCCAAACAAACAAGTGCTTCTGCAAAAGCTGACCATTTTCGCCGCTTACAGGCTTACAGTTTTTACGAACATTTTCCCCATCCTATCATTTCAATTTACCTAAGTTATATAAATGGTTCTAGTTCTCATCAACATTGTATATAATGAGAGAACATGCACTTCTATATTTCAACTCTTTAAGTTTAAAACATTACAAAAATCAAGTATATAACAGTTTATAACCTGTTTTCTCTCTTTTAAGAGTCTTTTTAACAGAATAAAAAAATGAGACACAAAAGTACATTTTAACTTAAATTATAAGTAACGTTAATATATATATATATAATTTTATTCAAAATCTCTTCTATGGCTTTGTCCCCAACATCTAAGTTTACAAACCTCGTGACATTCAACCAGGGCTTTAGCCAGCGCCCGTTTTACCGTCAATTGACGGTATTTTTTCCCGTCGGACGGTAAAAATTTAAGTCCTTACCGTCAACATTGACGGTCAAAAATCGTGGGTGAAGACATTAAACTTAGCAAAAAATGTAGCGAATTTGAATGAGCCACGGCGCGGGGTCTTTCCAAAGCGCGTCGCGTCTTTTCAAAACGCCGCGGGCCCACACATTTCTTATTTAAATACGGCGGGAAACCTGACTTCAAGGAACGTGCCGATGTCTGTTAACTCGGTTCTTTTCTTCAATGTTGCTGTCTGTTTAAACAACATGTGCTAACGGCCACATAAGAACAATGGCTCGACTCAGACTCACGCTGGTAACTGTACATGACAATAAGATAAATAAACAACATGTGGCAACGAACAAAGAAATATCAAACGTTTTGAAAATATACTGTACTTGAATTTTCATACCATCGCAAGAAAACGGAGATCGATCTACGCAAAGTGGCTTTATTATTTATATAAACTTCGTTAAACCACCTTCGAAGACTTGAGCGGCAGCATAAAGATAAATTTTCTGGAGCCGATCGCTGAAGCAAGTTTTTGCCGGCGTACGTAACTCCCTCCGCGGCAAAATCCCATATGCCGTAGCGAAATCGCGTCTCAGCACTTCCCCAAATCAACTCCATGGCCGCTAAAGTCTGCAAATGAGGTTAAACTTCCTCATTTCGGTTGAGAAGCGAAGCTACTAGTATAAAATCATGTGCATGGCGGCCATTTTGTTTGCTACCCGAAGTCTTCCGAATGATCTAAATAAGGAAATCGTCGGAAATCTGAGCCACATCCCTCGCTGTCGGCATGCGCTCGGGGCTGGCTCGGTGGAAATCGGAGGCTGTGGCGTCAGGACTAGGTTTATTTGCATGGCTCGGGAAGCCGCCGCGGCTTGAATCGCAGCGGGATTTGGGCGCCGGGCGGGTCAAACAAAGGGAATATGAAGTTGTGAGGACCATAGTTTTTTTTTTTTTCTTCAAATTGCAGATTGTGTAATTTTTATCCTGAAATCTTGAAAATCTATCTGCAAATTGCAGACTGAAGACGGGTATTTAGAACACTGAATACATGAAGTGTGCGGGGGGGCATGATGTCGATCACCGGATCATGATTTTTTTTCGCGTTGACCCTGATTCAACCCTAAAATAATACTCGAAGAGAACTTCAAAAGTCATCTTTTACTAATCATATATAATTGTTTACATTATATCATTTGATCAACCTGATCCATTAAAAATTGTCAATGGAAAATACCTTGCCAAACAATGCAATACCTATTTAAGTTAATTAAACACTCACTCATTAATTAATTAATTTCCTAAAATACAAAAGACATGTTGGTGAAAGTTAGGCACCCAGGTAATATCAATAGTTCCACGGACAGCTATGTAGGCCGGAGCTTCTATTGCGTGCGATCTACGTTTGGTCAGAAAATACACCCCCCCCCCAACACACACACACACAAAAACACCGATCCGGGAACGCCTGAAAAGGAGGCTTTTAATAAGCTTTGCCTGCAGCGCCTTGATTGGTCGGACGTGTGACCCTCTGGACTGCCGGCTAATGGAAATCTGAACATCTAGACTAATCCACACTGCTAATGCTCATTGACATAATTTATGCAGTTTATTAAAATCCTTGATTACTGTGATTATAGACATGTCTTTATCAACATTTTTGGCAAATAATAAAATCAAGTTATTGTTCAAGACAAATTAAGTTTGTTTTGTCAGCAGCTTTGTTATGCAACATTAATAGAACTATGATTTTGAAATTAGCAACCATAATGGAAAGTATACAAACGTCCAAGGCATAAATGGTAAAAAGTGCACTCGCAACAACGACATCTAGCGACATGCGGCAACTCAGCATGTCTGCATGGCCGTCGCAACAACGACATCTAGCGACATGCGGTGACTTAGCATGTCTGCATGGCCGTTGAAGGGTGGAACCGTTGATCCATCCATCCGTTGATCCAATCTCAATCTCGTCTGAGTTACCATTTTCGCGCATGCGAAAATGGTAAAAAAAAAGTTTTCAACCATACTGTAAATCGTACAAAACATTTGCAAAATGAGCAAAAATATACCACAAGTTACAAAAAAAATTAATAAAAACTATACCAATGTCGTAGAATGCCAAAATCAAACGAAAAAAGACGAAATTGTAAAGAAATGAACTTGAAGACTAGATTATCCGCCAAACCATATTCTGTGCCATTTGCTCAACCCTCATGACCACGTAGATTTCATAATGAAAATAATTTTTTTTATTCGCACGCGCGCATCAGTTTTGGGGCTCCCGGAGGATGTCATCCATATAATCAAATCAACATGGCCTAACAAAGAAAAAATTGTGGCGGTGGTTCAAATAACCGTTTCATGCCCTGTTATCATGTCTTATATTTATAGTTTGCCATTTTGATCCTAACAACTTTGGTTATTCATCCCATTTATTTAGTGCTGAAAAGTATTGTCTTTCAAAAACGTGCTAACTACTTTTACATGATGTAGCTAACATCCGTGTCCATAATATCACCAGGGTCCATAATATCGCCACCTTGAGAAACAGTGTGCTTTAAGATATTTTTACTGCAACATACCCTAGGTATGTACATTTGAGGTGTGAAGGAGTGCATACCAAAAGTATGTTGCAGTAAAATATCTTTAAGCACACTGTTTCTCAAGGTGGTGATATTATGGACCCTGGTGATATTATGGGCACGGGTGTTATAGGTAAAAAATTCTATCCCATTATATTATACCACCAACACTATAATAAACAGTCTATATGGTGAATTAATAGAATGACACCCCTGCTATCCCATTAATTTACCAGAGAGAGGTTCACAATTTCTCTTTACGGTGAATTAAAGGCGTCCAGCGCAGTTTTTTTGGGCTTGGAAACAGGATTTTTCAAAGCCAATATGCAATATTCTAGCCACTTATCTACATACTGAGTTGAAACCACACTATCCCAATGTATATTGACCCTCATGGAGCAAAAATACCCAAATTTCTGACAGAAAAATGGTTACTGGAAGGACCCTTGGCTGACTTTTAGGGTACCACCCATAAAATAAAGGACTAATCTTGTGGCTTGTTTCTGCAGTTTTAAATACCCAAAGTCTGAAATACTGATTGAAATGTGCTAATGTGAAGCAGTATGTGTCAATATCATAAAGATTGCCTTATTCAGAATATTTCAAGTTTTGTTGCACTGAAATCGCATTGGATGCCTTTAATGGGATAGCAGGGGGTGCTATCCCATCTACAAGAAAGAGATTCAGAATTTCTCTATATGGTGAAACAATTGGAAAGCGTCTAGTTTTGTGAAGAAATACCCCCCCCCCCAATCTATGACCGGTATTTTGAGACAGTAATAATTATTATATATACCTGTTATACAGGATTGTGAAACCCTTATATCTAGGTTAATGTAGTCCTGTATTCTAGATCTACATGTCTTTGTTACAATTTCTGAGTAGGCCTAGGCGCCTCTCTATAAAACATACAGGGTTGTGTTGACGAAGAAAAAAAAAAAAAAACTACCCTCCCTTATCAAAATTGTTTCGACTCTTCGGACCTACCTTGCTTAAGCGTTGAGGACGATTCCATTCGTAAATTCGGGGCAAATTCGGTATATTTTTGGACAGCGTCACTTTTCACCAGTACTATTTCTGGAGATGATAGCGTAAGTGTGACAAAGGGTTACAAAGGAATGTAAATAAACGGCTTAAAATAGTTTTAGCCTTTGGATGCCATCACTGTGGTTTGCCACAGATGTTGGAGACTGCGGTCTGGACTAAGAGGGTGAGTACGTGTTTCTTTGCTTTAACTTAAAACTCCGTTGCAATTCTATTGGAATGTCTTGAAACAAAAATGAGTGTTTCAAGCCCAGAATATGTTTAAATGACAATAACAAGATGGAATGAACAATCAAAGTGGAATGAACAATCAACTAAGATGCAGATGCAGTTTTTTTTCATTCATTTCTCTCTCCTTACGTTGAAGTAGTCCGTTTTTTTCTGTCAACTTTGTTCAAAACGTTCATTTTTTAATCTTAAAGCAAGAGCATCTTTTGTGCATCTTTTTAAAAATTCTTATAGTGACTTTAGTCGATTTCTAATGCAGAGCACTGAACAGTAATCACTTTATTGTGTGCTTAACGTATAAATCTTTGTGGTAGCGTGCTCGTCTCAGAACCAAGAGGTCCCGGGTTCAAATCCATGTGACCGATCTTGTGCCACTTCACTGAAATGAGTACCTAGCTTCGGTTAGGGACGTCCCTCGAATAGGACGTTAAATGGAGGACCAGTGTTTGGGGAGAGCCACACCCCACGCACGTTAAAGAACCCACCACACATTTCGAGTGGGGGTTTTCCCCGGTGTGCGATGCATATGGTACAAATAATAGTGTGAAAATTCACACTAATGGAGATCCTAAAACAAAGAAACAAACAAATAAACAAATCTTTCACCAATTATAGATCACAAAACCCACTAATTATGCAGAATGTGGGACTATTCATTATCCACTGCAAAGAAGAAGTCGAACCCCATAATAGCTAGCGTAGTAGTAGAAGTAGAAGTTTTTTCCAGACAGTTGTTACCTGTCTCCTGTTACTGTATTGCAATGAGTATTATACTTGATTGTACAAGCAATTAGCCCCAGCCTTCGGGCATGATTTTTGCAAATAAAGTTTCGTTATTAAAAATCACTGTGTTCCTTTCTCCACCCCTCCATGCAGACCATGCAGTCCCCTGTACTGTTGTTCCTGGTGTCGGCCCTAGCCGGGATGACCGCCGCCCGGCCGCCCGACGTGTGCCCTGCGCCGTGCGAGTGCCGCGGCAGCTCAGTGTACTGCATGTGGGCGGGGCTAACCTCCGTCCCGAGCGGCATCCCACCGGGAACCACCATCCTCAGGCTCAACAATAACCAGGTATTGAGAAATTGTAACTTTCAGGGGGGCTTTAAACTTTCATACAAATTTTACGGAATCCATACGAATTTTACGGTCACCAACTTAGTAAGTTTCCGTGTGATGGATTGTATGTATTCCATAAATTCCAAAGTACCCTTGTAAATAGTGTTGTTATGATTTCTGTTATTGTTTATTTTGTTTATTATTTATGTAATCCTTATCAGTTTATATTGGTGGGGGCATTAAAAAGGAGTATGTTCCTGTTTCCCCCAACCTTTTACATTTTTGTTGTAATAAAGCTGAAATAAAATAAATAAAATAAAATTCATGTTTTATTTTACGTATTTCGTAAAGTAAATATGTTTCATTGTAATGAATCGTTTGTATTTCGTAAAATCCGAATGGATTCCGTGACATTCCGTCATTCGTATGGCTTCCGTAAAATTCGTATGAATTCATTGGCATCCCTAACTTTGCTAAACAAGATAATATTACCTTTACCGTGATCTCACTAACCTTTTTCTATCTGTTGAGTACTTAAATATGACAAAAGAATTAGCAACGTTTCTCTTAGTGTGTCTGTTGTCGCCATTTTAGCAGTTCTAGTCAACTATGTTAAAACTTTTAAAAGTGCACCAAAAAAGATGTTACGTAGCTTACCACCACAAAAGTATTATGTCAGAGGGCTATATTTCGCGCTGACTGAATTTTGTTCTTACTTTTTCCCACCTACAGATCTCAAATCTTCCTCCAGACGCCTTTGCCAACTTGAAAAACCTCCGTGGGCTCGACTTGTCCAGAAACAAGTTAACCAACGTGTCAGCCGAGGTCTTCCGACCGCTAGCCAACTTAGAATGGCTCTACCTTTCCAACAACGAGATACAACACATCGCTCCAAACGCGTTCGAGAAACAAAAGCATCTCAAAGACCTTTTTCTTCAAGCCAACCACTTGATGGAAATCCCCGACGGAGCTCTTCAATCTTTGCGAAGTTTGACGTTGTTGGATCTAAGCGAAAATGGAATCAAAAATCTGACAGACAACGCGTTCTCTGGACTAGTTCGTCTGCAAACGTTGTACCTCAGCGCTAACTGTTTCTCTCACATCGACCACGACGCTTTCGCTAGCGTGGCAAATTTGGAAAAGCTTTACATCAACAAGGCCTGTCTAACGTCCGTCCCGACTCCGGCATTCAGGAATCTCAAGACTCTACTGATACTAGAACTAGGCGTGAACGACATAAGGGTTCTCGGCGAGAAGTCTTTCTTCGGTATGGGGAGGTTGAAGAGACTGAGACTTAGCAACAACAAGATAGCGCTGATTTCGGCTAGGGCATTTGAAGGCCTTGAGGAGCTGCGATATCTGGACTTGAAAGCGAACCGTGTGAGTGAGCTACTTGACGGAACGTTCGGAGCCACTCCAAACTTGGAGGAGCTTTATCTGTGTATGAATAACATCACAACAGTGAAGGAGAACGCTTTTGAGAATGTACCGCGTCTGCAGATGCTCAAGCTAGACGATAACGCCATAGCCACATTCCCTGCGTCTGCGGTAGCCCCGCTATCTAATCTCCAAGCTTTCGACATCTCCGGAAATCCGCTCAACTGCGACTGCTTCTTGCGACCGCTGCGAAAATGGCTCGATGGCGCGCGGGCTATAGCTAAGCTCGCCACGAGGGAACAGACACTCTGCGCGGCTCCAGAGAAATTCCTCGGTGCCAGGGTGGACGTGATCCCGCCGGTGAACTTCACGTGTCCCGGTGGAGACCCTCCGGGATACCACATACCCCCAAAAGGTCCCTCGACTCCGCCCACTCGACGCATGACGTCATCACCTCCCCGTGACGTCAACCACCAATGGGAAACCATTTTGGGGATTTCCCGTTCATCTATGGAGTTGGACAACCTCTCAGGCATACAGGCAGAGGAGAGCAAAGAGCTAGGGCTGGAACTGGGGGAAGAAATGAAGACACAGGTGGATGGAGTGAAGGAGAGACTGGACGCCGTTCTGGAAAAGCTGACCGCCCTGGAAGACACCGTGGCCGCCTGTGCGCACACCGGCAGGACCTTGGTGCTGAAGGGCCTTCGGATCGAGTTCGACGGAGAAGCCCCAGTAAACTGATTCTAAACTAGAAAGGTAACATTTGCTATGTAAATGCATAATGTTTACCTTCGCATATGGTCTGCTCTGTCAATTCTTATATATGGTCAGACAGGAGTCTAAATCCCTCCTGCTATAAAATTGCAACATGATGTAACTCAACACTAGTTACCATGGTGACAGACATCTGCTTCAGGTCATTGACCTTATTTGTTTGCGAAGAGGAAACTGAGCAAAAACAATGTTTTCAATGAATCTTTAAGGCCTTGGAAAGAAAAATTGTGTTTCCTGTTCCAGTCCTGAATAAAATTAGGGTCGGTAGGTAGGAATTATCTTTTTTTGCAGACTGGTGATCTTTAGTGATCCAACTTATACAATAGTTTAACGAAGTAAAACTTGCATTTTTAATGTCGGAAAACCGACTGTACAATGTTTCGTGTCTGAGGTGTCAGATCATGGAGCTAGAAAAGGTTGATCAGCTCGAAAAATTTATGTCCCTTGCAGCGTTCCACACACAAAAAAAGCTAGGGTCAGCAGGTTTTTCTACGGTAGGTCGGGAAACAGGAAACACAACATTATTTTCTAGGCCTAAACAGATCTTTTTGACTACAAGACAGTTGGTCAGGCACTATCCGTGCGCCAACGTACTCCCAATTTGATACTGTCTTGTACCCACCTAAAAATCCGTTTTGAGATTAATTCTTAACCACAAAGACAGATCTTAACGGGCATTTTTAGTAAGAGAATTGGTAACTTCTTACAAAATTCTAGAAATGTTATCCCATAATTTTTTTTTATAACCATGCACTTGTGTGAATCTATATACCAGTATATGTTATACGTACACCTCATTGCTGCTACTTCAATATTCCAGGGAGTATGTAAAAATAATCTGATGCATGATGGGATAGCTTGATGACGTATGCTTCATTTCCTAATAAGGTCAAAAGCTGAACGTTTGAGCGGGAAAATCACACGTCAGTGACAACCTTGAATGGAGGTCCCCAAATTGTATCTTCCGAAAAGTAGACCAGAATAAAAATCAGTTTTCAATAACAGTTTCAGTATGTGGAGCCATCCTTGTGTGCTTGACCTAACAGATATTATCACTAGAAAGGTAACATTTGCAAAGAAAATGCATCATGTTTACCTTCGCAAATGGTCTGCTCTGTTAAGTAATTCTTACTAAGTCTAAATCCCTCCTGCTATAAAATTGCAACATGATGTATCCCAACACTAGTTACCATGGTGACAGACGTCTGGTTCAGGTCATTGACCTTATTGGTTTGGAGGAGAAGAGGAAACAGAACAAAAACAATGTTTTCTTTCCGTAAACATAATGAAGAAATGCTATTTGGCAGCCCCAGAACACAACTCTACAGTAGACTCACCCCTTACTGTGCTACTTACACAACTTTGTGGCCCAAGGGTTATATAGACACGTGTGCTAAATTCAGAAACATAACACGGCTTTATACAAACAGAAATGACTAATAAACTGGTGGACATCCCAACTACTAAGTACCTAATACCAGCCCAGAAGAGAACAAGAAATAGCCATGCCTTCAAGTATCAGAGTTATCAACCAAGGATTGAGGTGTTCAAGAATTCTTTTTTTCCTAGACCTATTGCAGAGTGGAACTCACTGTCGCTAAGTACAGTAGGGGCATTGTCATTAGATTTAGATAGCTTTAAACAATGTCTAGAGTTAGAAGTTCAAGGGTTAGGTGTAACAAGTCCATCAGTGTAATGTAGCCAGCTGCCGCCGCGCCGCGTGCCTGCAAAGCTGGTGTGTTACGCCGAAGGGCGGTTATACCGGCTATACAGATACAGAAATGCATATTTTGGAAAACTAAACCATTGCCAAGCTTTTAAATATTTTTTGATGATCAGTTTAGTTGTAGGACCTCTTTGAACCTTTTAAGGTTGCTTGCAAAAGAACTGTGCCTTATAACCTGAGTATTTTTCCAAAAGGACAATGAAAATGTTTGTATTTCATGAAAAAGACAAAATTAAGAAACAGAGACAATATACAATAACTCAGATGAGACTTAAAGTGACTATATCTAAACATCTTCTAGGTAGCAACATGTAATCTTCTTGACAGCTGTAATGTTTTAAAAATCTTTAAGATAATAAAATCACCAAATAATAGCCCATCACCGATTTGGAAAAGGTACTGGTGGTATGAACTGTCACAAGTTATTTTGAGCTGTAATAGTTGATCATATACCAAGAGAAAGAAAAATGTTATGAGACTAAAGTACAGACTGCTATAATCATAATCACGTCACTTAAATAATGAAAAAAATTTGAAGCAAACATGTCTTGAATATTTGAATAAGAACTAAAAAAAATTGTGACAGAAAATTTCCTGCACAAATTTCAAAACTGTTATTGAAGAACACTTGGATATATTACAGGACAGTAAAGGTGATTAACAATATCTGGTTAAAACATTTATTGTTGTTTTGGTTAAAACAAACAATAAAAATATCCCTGTCAACTTTTCTTTTATCAGACATAATGACAACAACTCATGCCACAATTTATCTCTCAGTCCAAAAGTTTCTCTATGTAAATAAAGAGAATCAAAACATAACACTCAGAAAATATCCTGCAATACTCATCATTTGTAAAGTCCATGGTCTCCATTTTAAGTCCCCATCCATCCAAAACGATGGGATGTCAATCACATCAACTGTTTGATTGATGCTGACAGCTGTCAATCAACCTTAAAGTCTACCCTAGTCCTTTTTCTCTATTAAGTACCATTATAACATTGACCCAAGTATGTTGAAAAACTAGTAGTGTGTCCCTATCACTAGAAGTTGGTTTCATGGGCCATATTCATTACCTTTCGCTCTCTCATTGGTCGAACTGCTAATTACCACTCTCTCATTGGTCGTACTGCTAATTACCACTCTCTCATTGGTTGAGCTGCTAATTGAGATAGACAGCCAGGATCTGTCTATTGTTTAGTTAGAAATAATAGAACCCTGCCCCTCCCTTACAGTTATTATCGGTGTGTTCAGTATGCTTTTTTTTTTACGTTGTTAAACTGTCAGTCCGAACCTCTCGGCTCTCTTCTTCTTCTTTGCCTGCAAAAACAAATCAACAAAAACACAATCAATTAAAGAATCAACAATATACTTTACATAGTTAAGAGGTCTTGAAATCAAACCTTTTACAACAATCCTCAATGCAGTTAAGTTAGTTCCTTCCCGCAACAAGTATCGGATAGGGCGGCACCCATTAACTGTAGAGTAGAAGTAGTGTTGTGTTGTGTACCGGTTCACTGGACTGGTTCCAGACTTGTAAGAATGTTTAGGTTCAAGTCCAAAAAAACCTAAAAGTCAAGAACCGAGTTCAGACTTATTACCATAAAAGACCATTTCACACGCCCCTTTCCTTTCCAAACCACCTAAAACCTTCCGTAGATTGTAAAATCTTGGCTGCAAAATGAAGAAAACATTGCCATCGGGCATCGTCAAGTACCGGCCTCCATGTTATGTGGCCTAAGTTTCACCCAGACAACATTGCAAGGTTGCCAACATGCTATTTGTATATGCCATGGGTTTAGGTCTGGACTTACAAGTCCGGAACTGAACCTAAACCTCTGGACTTGAATCCGGACCTGAACCTAAAATTAGGTTTAGGTATGCAGCACTCATGGCAGATAAACATACGTGGGGATAAAGAACACCTACTTCCACCTCATCCGAGGAGACCTGAGTGCCTGCTGCTCCCGCCGTCACCGCTCCAAACCTCTGTTTCCTCTTCAACAGTTTCTCCTTCTCCTCAGCCTGAACATACAGTAAAATTCACACAGGTTACATTCCAGACATGTACATGTGTGGACAAATATCATCAGGGCTCGAAATTCATTTTTGGTACTAGGTGCATCCAACCTAAAAAATTGGGTGCACACAAAATTTTTTGTCAGCAAACTTTAATAAGTAGAAAGTCAGCAAAACTTATGTTTCATTTCTAAAGAAAAGTACCATGACAGAGATTTTATTATTTTTCTGACACTTGGATGTTAAGAATATGCTGTATACTACTATACATTGAACATCTTTACATAAGTAAACTTACGAAAATATCTGGGTGCACAGCTCCAAATTTGGGTGCACTAAGGTGCACATGCACCCAGTATTTCGAGCCCTGAATCATTCAAAATTATCTACATGAGATGTAACAGAGCATTTAGGCAAGCCTTTTTTTAATTTCTAACTCTCCAAAAGCCACATTTTGAGACTGAGGCAAATTTAAACTCAGAATACAGCCATTCACATCATCTAGTGCACTTTAAGAGAATGTTTTGAGGTAATGTTAATGTTTTGAATAAAAATAAATTGAATACCACTGAAGAAAGGATATAAAAACACTGATTTAACAAGCATGTCAGCAGAACGTACTGCACCTGTGCGAAACCTTTTTTTTAATGTTTGGTCAACATTACATCAGAATTTTGCTTGTTGCACATATTTTTTCTGACACATTTGAAAACTACAGACGGGATATCTTACAAGAATACAACCTTAAAAGAGACGTTTTGCCAAAGTGCTATGCAAAATACATTAGAGGTTTTCATACAGACGCAGCGCATTCTAGCAACATGCTGACCTAAACAGACTGACCTGCTGTGTTGCAGTTGACACGTTCATCCCAAATCTCTCTGCACGCTTTTTCAACTTCTCCATTTCAGGGCCCTGTCAACAAGACAACAGGAATTATTTTTTTCTTGTAGTGATTAATAAAAGAGAATGCAGGAATATTTCATTCAGAATAACAACTGGTTTCTCTTTGGACATCAAATATTTATTATAATATTGCTAAGAAGTGCAAATACTAGTATATATATTCTACGGAGATGATATACACGTATTTGCACTTCTTGAAAATACTACACAATTTTGCCAACATGCTGCTATGTTTTAGTAACTTTTACAAATAAGCCATTCATTCATTTTCACATGTTCCAGCACAAGTACATGTACATTGTAAATGTCTGCAATGGGAAAAAAGACTAATTTCAAAAGGCACTACACATGCCTATTCTAACAGACATCCAAATCACATCACAACACAAATAAGGGGCAAGTAATCAGCTTTTTGTAAAGTCCTGGTCTAAGTAAAATTTTGTGTCCCAATCCCATGACGTCCAGCAAAGATGAAACACTTTATTCATTGTACTTTCTTGCTTAGTGATGCATACCTAAACCCAATTTTAGGTTCAGGTCCGGATTCAAGTCCAGAGGTTTAGGTTAAGTTCCGGACTTGTAAGTCTGGACCTAAACCCATGGCATATACAAAATTGCATGTTGGCAACCCTAAATGTTGTCTGGGTGAAACTTTGGCCACATAACATGGAGGGCGGTACTTGACGATGCCCGATGGCAATGTTTTATTTGTTTTGCAGGAAAGATTTTACAATCTACGGAAGGTTTTAGGTGGTTTGGAAATATTTTATGGTAATAAGTCCGGACTCGGTTCTTGACTTTTAGGTTTTTTTGGACTTGAACCTAAACATTCTTACAAGTCCGGATCCAAGTCCAGTGAACCGGTATGCATCACTATAATCTTGCTTAAGCTGCTTGCGCTGTTCTACAGCATCTGCCTATTTTGCAATTTATTGCAGTTTCCTAAACTGATCTCAAGCCCTGGTAAGTCAATTATTATTATCATCACCATTTCTTCTGAGCTGATAGCAGAGTTGTCTTCCAGAGGCTACATGGTTTGGCAGTGGAAAGAAGAATTTACAAAGACAGAGGTTACATTCAAACACTTAGAGAAGAAAAGAGCAAGCTTGTCTATCATACAGCAGAGCTCTCATTGATTAATCATAACATGATCTAATTAAATACCTAAACAAAAGCACAGAGATTGGAGGATGTAATTCCTGCTATGATGAAGAAATAGTCCAAAAACAACAGTTCATATGTTTCTATATATGAAGTTTCAATGTACACTAACACTAAAATAAATGTGAGAAACATGTACATTGTATATCGAAACATTTTTAGTGTTAACGATTGCCTTTCCAGAATGAGCTACAATCAAACAAGTAATCATATTTGCAACTGTAAGATCATCACACATAACTATATTATTTGAAAGATTTCTTCCATAATGAAAAAGAATGTTGCACATAGCAACAAACCTATATATTTTAGAGGCAAATACTTACAGAGAGAGTTGTGGCTCCTTTCACTGGTGCTGCAGTCTCTGAAATGTTGAGAGGAAAGTTAATAAAAATCAGCAATATTGAGTGCCAACACCTGAATCTTTCAATTATCCTAAAATCTAAAATCATTTCCCACAACAGATCCATGTACTACTAAAACCTGAATTTTTAATGTCTATAATTACATTGTGCTATAGTTTACTTACCTGTTTTTGTTGGTCCTGTAACAGCAGTTCCAAACCTGGAAAACACACAATACACATGTAAAAATACTGCCTTTTTAAGATTGAAATATGACATGCCAGGTCTTGGAAATTCAATGTTTTCTTGACAAGTAAATAATAGACCTCACCTGGCTGCTCGAGCGGCTTTCTTGGCCACCTCGGATGCATGGCCTCCAAACTTCTTTGCCCTCAACTCTAACCTCTACAACAGAAATCACAGGTTATCTTTTCTTTCACAAAAGCACAAGTTGCGAGGTTCTTTGCTCTCAACTCTAACCTCTACAACAGAAATCACAGGTTATCTTTTCTTTCACAAAAACACAAGTTGCGAGGTTCTTTGCCCTCAACTCTAACCTCTACAACTGAGAGTACAGGTTATCTTTTCTTTCACAAAAACACAAGTTCCAAAAACACGGTTGTGTATTTTTCTAGCAGGGAAGCGATCAATAGAGTGTACTAAAGCTACAGCAAGGCTGGCATCATCCAAGCTACCAGTCTACCAGATACCTTTTACCCAGTGTTGACGTCACACTTCAAAGAAGCCATGTGACAAACGTCACTGGGTCAGTCTACTAAGGAAGACCAGAGTGACTGGTCAAAAGCTCTAGGTGAGAGAATTTTTTTGTGTTGGACCAAAAGTTTTAACTTTTAACATGTAATTACCAACACAGATGAACTTTCATATCAAAGCGCCTTTTCATCCCATATCACCTAGTATTGTACTACGTAGACTGATTTGTTAGATTTGTTCTCTCATTTCTGCCATACTTTGTACCTTGTACATTGTTGCGTAATAAAAAAAGTAAAGTATCATCCAGGCTAGTTGAACTGTCCATACCTCGGCTTCTGACATGGGTGGTTTGACAGGAACTTTTGTATCAGCAGAGCTGACACTGGTGACGACTGTGGGTTTTGCTGTGTTTGTAGTTTCTGTGTTCTCCTGATTATCCTGAGTTGTGGTCTGCTCCTGAAAGAAAGACATGCCAAAGGGACTCAGAAAAGAATCAGACCTCGAAATTCACTTTTCTTCCTATTGTCCCAGCACTGTCCCTATTGTCCCAGCACTGTCCCAAAAATAAATTTCAATTGCCCAAAGTGAAGATGAACTGTCCCAACCTGTTTTTTGGGAAGTATTGTATGGCTTCAACTTGAGGTTGATTACTGTTCTGTTGTCGAAAAATGTCCCAAAGTGTCTTTTTAGTTGTCCTGGCCTAAAATCTGGTAGTCAGTGGCCATTGGGACACTGTTAATTTTGAGCCCTGAGAATACTAAAGACCATAAAGTTATTGAACAGTTGTTGAAATCTTTACTTTGTCAAATGTACTTTGTGCTTTTCCATACACTTTTTACAAAGGTTGAACCGTTCTGAAGAAGATACTATCAGAGGCTGACAAACCTTTGATTTTGTTTTGTATTTCAAATCTGCAGTTGTGTGTTTGTGTGAGACTTGTGTTTTGCTTTTGACTTTGGAAACAGAGGCACATTTGTGGCCACCATAAAAACAATACCAACACAAACATTTTTAAGATCTACAGTAGTATAACTAGTTTCACCTCTTCTTCCTCCTCCTCCTCCTCTTCTTCCCCAGCCAGGATGCTGTCATCAGCCTCATCTCCTGTGGAGACAACACATGTATTATCTGTTCCACTTGTTACTACAAATGTACCTTAGGCCATGTTGATGTGATTAAATGGATGACATCCTCTGGGAACCCCAAAAATGATGCGAGTGTGCGAATAAAAAAAAGTTTGGCAAAAAAAAAAGTTCTTCTTCTTCCGGTAATGTCCAACTGCCGATACCGGCAATAATTGACATGTCTCGGGTCGAAGGTCACCAGCGTGACTGAGTCTAGGCCAGACTGGACACCCTCGAGACAAAGGTGGCCAGGGACGGGGATTGGACAGTGTCTATGGGCAGGGCGTTCCAATCGCGGATAGTGCGGGGAAGAAAGGAATAGTGTTTGTAGTTCGTGCGGCTAGTTATGTCCTGGAGCTGTTGACTGTGGCCTCTCCGGCTTCTCCTGCTGCCAGACACGGGCTTCAAGGCGTCGCATCTCACACATGCAAGGTCATGCTGGATCTTGTACATCATGGCGAGTCTGGTGGTACGGCGGCGGCCTTGAAGAGAAGCCCACTGTAACTCATCCAACATGTCAGAGACACTAGAGGTGTTTCGGTGTCTGTTCAGAACAAAGCGTGCTGCCCTTCGTTGGATTTTCTCGATCTTATTCAAAGTTGCTTTTATTATGAAATCTATGTGGTCTAAAAATTTGGTGTTTTTACTTTTTGGTGTGCACTTTTTGAAGTGACTTGCACTGCAAGTTACAATACCCTTACCTTCTCCTGATGCAAATGAGGTGTCCTTGGAAAACAGCTCAGCCTCTGTTGAGAGAAATATCCTCTTTTTAAAAGACAGAATTTTACCAGTATAACTTCTCAATCTACAGTATCTGGGTCATGTTGAAAATAAGAGGACGAATAAATCTAGATATGGAAATGAAAAGTTTAGTGGAATGAAAATCATGCTCATTGTAGATAGCTACTACTAGCTACACAAAAGAGTCAGTTGAGAATTACTGCTTTACCATAAACCCTCTAGTCTAGAGTCTCCTCTATATTAGTCAAACCAAAAAATGTGAGTTTTAGGAGAAAAATGGAACAAGATGGAACAAGTAGAACAGAACAATACCTGGTAAATGTGGGGCATTTGGTTCTAGAGGAAATGGGAAGACTTTGGTAAGTACAACGAAAGGTGAAGAAGAAACAATGCCTCACAGTCACAATATTACTGGAAGTCTATCATATGAAAAGGGTAGGAGTAAAGGTGTGAACAGGACAGTGGCTATCTGCAAGGATAGGGCACTGGAAACACACTGGACAGTAAGAAACCACACAATCACCTTCCAGTGACAGTCCTGGTGGGAGGGTAGCACGTGGGACAGCATGCACTCCTTAAACATGCAAACTACTGTTACTACTAAGTAGTGATCTATGATCAAACTATAGTTACTTTCTACAGCTACTGGTGTGATCTACAAACTCAAGTTACTAGTGATCTACAAACTATAGTTACTTGTTATCTAAAAACTACAGTTACTTTGTACATGTACTTCTGACCTACACATTAAAGCTAACAAAGGGGACAGGGACAGTAACAACATGTGTTAACAACCAAGTCTATAATCTACATATGATTATCATGATCTATATTTCTGGTAATAACATCATACAATACTGGAATACATATACGTAAAACATTAAGTTATACGCACATAACAAAGGCTGATATAACTTTACTCACTCACTTTCTATCCAGTATAACTATAAGAGGTATTGGTCCTATTTTGGGTTAGACATGATTGAAGCTTGTACAGAGTCCACATATATGCTTACAAGTATCTTTTCAAATATGAACTTAAGTGAACTCAAAGTGAAATCATTATGGCTTCACCACTATGTGGTGATTAGAGACATATTGTTTTTCCTCATGTTTCTTCTCCTCCTGCCATTTCTTTAAATTGATTCAACTCCTTCATTTTGGGCCAAATGTAAAATGTGGTAAAGCCCTCCGCTACATTTGCTCCAAAGCAAATGTCGGCCTTTCTAGTTATATTGTCCGAGTTACTACTGTTATAAATTTTATACAGAGCCTGCATATTATACATGTACGCATATGCAGTGTCATGATATATATATAGATTATTACAATAATCAAACATGACACTATGAGTATGACATGTGCGATGCTAGCTGACCTCCTGCTGTCTCCATGTGCTGCTGCAGTCGGTCCAGAAGCTCCTGTTTGTTTCCCGTCACCGTCAGCCCACGAGCACGCAGCTCGTTCTTCAGGTCAGCAACCTGCAACATGGGAAGTTTAGTCATCGTTACTTTAGGATACAACAATGTGTTATCATTCCCCTAAAATAAACTTAAATAAAGACCAGAAAGAGTCTAAAAAAACAGTTACTCAAGTCAAGCAACTGGAAATGATTTTGGAAAGGTCAGACGTTAAAAGCTAATTTATAAGTACTACGAACTATTGATTGATGTTAAAATGGAGGTCAAAATGGAAACAAAATTTAAACAAGTCAAAACAAGGATGATGCAAAAATTATTTGTCAAGTAGCTTCTGAGAAGTAATGGCTAAAATTATTAGATTTCTGAAGAAAAAGTTTTTCCACTTGCCTGTCTGATCTTGCTTTAAAGTAGATTTGTGCAGTACATGACTGACATGTTCAGCACATAAAAAAACATGGAACTTGGAAAATCATAATCATGCCTACGGAAAATCATCATATAATAATTTAATATAATTTTGACAGAAGATGTATGTGATTCATGCATACATAATTTTACTGAGTACTAGTATGTTTTGTTGATCCCCAATAGAAAAGAGAGGTCCTGGTATTATACAAACATCTGTACTGTTTAGAAAACAAATTATTTTCCTCACAGCTAGCTAAAACCATGCCCCCCTCCCCATGTAACATAAACTTAACGCAAACGGTTATCCTAAGACTAAGAGACCACCGTGTGTTAAAAACCGTGCATAGCACTGAATAGATTAGATAACCCAGATGTACGAGTGGTGTGGGCAGGGCTAGCATATATCCGGGTTGTCGACGCCCGTTGACAAAAGCGCGCGCTTGGCTTGGACACTCGTCCGAAAAAAATCACAAAGCGAAAAGGCAGCTGTTTGTGTCTGCACGTGTGCTCTTTCGTCAACCATAACGGTAAAACTACAGCCTCCCTGGCACCGTGCATGCATTCAAAATTTTCACTAGTTTATACTCTTTCCTATGCATCAATTTGTAGGTCCTAAAAGCAAGGGAAAAGTGCAGAATTTGATAAAAACTGCGAGTTTTCGTACCTTCAGCTTCTTCAGAGCCTCCATCTTGGAAAAGTTGTGATGCGGAGTGTCATTTCTGTACATGCGCACTAGTCAATATGTGATTTTACGACATAGTTTTACAGCAGTGCAGCCAGTTTGCGGTAGGTCAAAGAAAGTGTAGCATGCTGCAATTTTTCACGTGATAACCCCAAGTTTACAAGCCAAAATCACGCATTTAGAAAGCAGACAGGGCGCTCAAATTCACCATGAGGCTATCGTTAATGCTACTGATCAGCCATGGCAAGAGGCAGCGAAGACTGGGCGGCGGAAAGCCTCAAAGACTGAACATTTTGAGGAAGGTTGTCACCGGTTTGGTTCGCCACGAACGAATCGAGACCACATATGCCCACTGTGATGAGGCCAAGTTCTATGCCGAACGGGTGGGTGAATATTTTCCCTGTATCTAGGCACATCCTTGTACCTAAGTATTGTTTTCTGTGTGTTTGCAGGTATCTTAATGCAGTATAGAGATTTTGTAACCACAGATTGACAGGAAGGTCAAATTATCTTGCTTGAGGGCCTGCATGGGGTCCCAACAACGCTCTACGCTAAATTTTGAGAGCCGGCTACGTATTACGCTGAATTCAAGAAGCCTCCCCCATTATGCTTCACGGTAAATTCTGGGTAGCTACAATGCATTACGTAAAATAAAACTGCGAATTATGCTCTACACAAAATGCGCCAATTACGTTCTACGTTGAATTAGAGCGGCCCGTTTACGCTCTACGTAGAATAAAAACCGATTACGCTCTACAGAAATCGGCAGGTGGGCCCCCATAGCTTGTTTATTAGTTTTGATGTTGAAGTTTCCTCTTTACACATCTAGTAAAAGAAATCTAAACCCTTTCGTTCCTTCTCTCCAGTTGATTGACTATGCTAAACTCGGAAACACCAATGCAGGAGCCATGCGGATTGCCGACTACTGGATCACAGTGAGTTTTGAAGAAAGATTTAAAATTTGTGTTGTATATTGTTGAAAAATATTGCCATAATATGATCTGATAAGGTGATGACAGTGAAAGCATTACATTGTATAGGTTCTGAAACATACTGTTTATTTCTTGTTGAAACTAGATATTATGAAAAGTATAACTTAGCTTTAATAATGCTCATTATTCTGGTACATGTTTACATTGTACTTGTCATGTACACATGTATGGTATACAAAATTGTACATTCCACCTTTCCAAATTATAAAATTTTTACGTATCTCATATGCATTTTACATTATTACATAAGACTACAGTATTATTGTATTTGTTACACTCTCTCACTCACTCACTTACAAATTAGAAATAATTGCCTTCTGTAGTAATCACACTCACTCACTCACACAAGTTAGAAATAATTGCCTTAACTTCTGTAGTAATGAGATTCAACCCTGACATTCCTGTTTGCGTCTTTCAACAGGAAAAGGACCTGATCCCCAAGTTGTTCGAGACTCTCGCGCCGCGTTTCGCCAACTTCGACGGACGGTATTGCAGGTTGTACCGCCTCCCTCTCACCACACAGAACACCCTGGACACGGCCGTGTTAGAGTACAAGGGAAACCCCTACCCTAGCCTCAGACCTACACCCAAGAACCATCCCAACTCTATAGCAAACATTCTGGTGGAGGGACTGAGACAAGACTATGAGAAGAAGAAGACAGAGACTGTATGAGACTTAAAGGATGAGTCTGTTGCATGATCTGGACAGTAGACAAGGAATGATGAATTATTTTTTCATGCATATATGCTTCATCTTCCATTCTCAATTTAATCACTATAAACATTCTCATACAAGTTTGCTTTTTTCCTCAAAAACTTAGACACAGAATTTAACTCTCATATTGTCATAAACATAGAAAACCATTGTGACATAGATACTGAAAGAGACTAAGGCCCGATTTAGACTAGAAACGGTAATTATTTACGGAGGGTAGAAACGGTATACCGTTTCGAAACGGTATACCGTTTCGAAACGGTACGAAACGTTTCGCCACAGAAAACGGTTCGTCTTTAGACACAGAGTCGGTAGCGTTTCGGGCCGCCCGTGGCGCAGGATGTTTCTGACCCACAGTGACTTATGATGACCTCCCCAACCGCTTCTACGGTTTGCCTCATTGGCCTTATGATACTTGTGTTTCAGGGCCTTGAACTTCGCCCGAACCTGCTTTGGGGTGCGTAAATACCCCTCAGCCGCCAGCCCGTCCACAAGCATCTGTATGCCCTCCCTATTACGCGAGGTCTCCAAGCGGGATTGTATAGTTTGATCGGCCCACAAGCTGATCAAGCAGCGGATCTCTTCTTGGGTCCAGACCCTCCCCTGGCCTTCTGCCATCCCCCCAGACATAAAGGATGACGAAAATTCGAGAAATACCTGATATAAAATGGCGAAAATGGACACAATCGAATATGGCGCGAATCTACCAGAAAATGGACGCGCGCGGGCTTATTAGCATGTGATTAGCATATGACACGTGACCTGGTTTACCGTTTCAAGAAACCCTTTGACTTTAGACCTAGCAAAAAGCGTTTCGGGCCCCCCGCTGAAGGGTTCTGAAACGGTCGAAAACCACGATGGAGGTGGTTTTCGGAAACGGTCCGCGAAAACCCATAACAAACCGTTTTTTCCTCTTTAGACCGGGAACGGTTAACCGTTCCAAAACGTTTCCCTGGCCAAAACCCCTTAAGCGTTTCTAGTCTAAATCGGGCCTAAAACTGTATCATGTTTGAATCACATGTACACAGGTTTAGACAAAATGTTTGAAATGAACATGTCACTATTTTCTTTATAACAGTACATTTGTATACAGTACCTTAATTCTGAGATAAGAAAGGGGGGTCACCAAATTTCCCTGATTAATTTAGATGTTCCAAGACATGTCACTTAAACGTGTGTAATGAAATAAGATTATGAAAAATATGCTTTGTACAGTATAACATACCATAGAACTTTGGTTTAAATAAACCATTAGAGATCTACTGGTATTTATTTGTATCTTAATTCTATGGTAGTTTAAGCTTGCAGTCTCTTTAATTTAGTCAAAACAGAGATTGAAAATGAAGTTAAACTATGTCTTATATATTGTAATAAAAAATGTAAAAAAATATTGTATTCAAAAGCTTTACTAAATTTTCCAAATCTTTCCATTGACTAAAAGTTACTTTATCATATAAATTATATATAATTTGTACATTCTAATATGTAAATCATATACACCTTGTTTTACTACTAATACCAGTGCTCTTGCTTGCACATTAAGTGTTTCAGACTTTGCGATGTGTGTGCTATCTCCTCTTCTTTCTCTTCCTGGTATTCTGTAGTGTCAGTAACGGCATGCCCAGCCGTGCGCGGAGTTCGTTGGGGATGTAAGGGTTGGAGTTACAGTGGCCATGGCGGTTTGGGATGTCGCTCTCCCTGTACACGTGAACGGACACGTTGGAACGCACCTCCACCTCGATTTCTCCCCAGGCCTGCCAGCATGGATATGAAAAAAACACTTAGTTCATACTAGAAAGGCCGACATTTGCTTTGGAGCAAATGTAGCGGATGGCTTCACCACATTTCACGACATGGCAGGGAAAGCAGGAGAAACACAAGGGAAAACAATTCTTTACGTTGATATAACTATAGTATGAAGTGACAACAGTTGGATAGCTATAGTATTGGTTAGGATTTTTAATTGCAGAATGCAAACTGTTGATTTTCAAGATAAAAAGAAGCGTTTATGCCCTGCATTCCAAATTTCATGTTATTTGGCCCAAAAATGAAGGAGTTGAATAGTGGTGAAGCCATAACTAGACAATGCTAATACTGTGTAGTGATGTGTACCTAAACCCACATTCAGGTCCGGATGCAAGTCCAGAGGTTTAGGTACAAATCCTGACCCAGGATACATAAAAATTATGGAAGGGACTTCTCAGTTAACATTTCCCAATGGAAAATGGAGCATCTTTACCACAAAATTTTGAAGTGAGCCCTGCACTACCAGGGTTTAGAAGCAAGATATCTTTTTTGCAGGGCATGTCTGGGCAAAACTGTGGCCGAACACGCAAGTTTGCAGCACAAATTTTTGACTATTGATGATTTCAGGTGGTTTAGAACAAAAAGAGGAATGTGATTTTTTGGTAAGTCCAGAACTGGTTCCAGACGATCATTTTTTTGGGACTCGAACCTAAACATTTTTACAACTCCAGAACTAGTTTCAGGGAAATGGTACACAATACAAGCTACAACTACTATTGCTCCTTAGGGCAAGAACTACCGGGTAGCCGTATAAAACCTATGCATGCCCGTAGCCAGGGGGGTTCGGAAGAGCCCCCCCCCCCCAAGGCTCAAAGGTCCACTTTTTATGTAAAGGTCCACTTTTTGGTCCACTATTTATGTAAAGGTCCACTTTTTGGTCCACTCTTTATGTAAAGGTCCAAGATTTTTCTTGAAAAGATAGATTGGAATCATAGAAAAACTGCTCCCTTTGTCATTGAATAAAAATTTATCACTGATTTTTTCTTTGAAATCCTCTCAAAAACGCACGACATACAATGCCATTTTAGAAGGTTCATTTTTCAACCTAGGAACCTCGAGGTCCCCTCAAGCAGTTGGAAGAACCCCCCCCCCCATTCAAAATCCTGGCTACGGGCATGCTATGAATAAAACATTCAAATTTAAAGTCATTTACAAAATATGTACTTCCTTGCTATGTTGTCGAAGTGATTGAAAATGACATCTTACCTCGTCCCCTACGACCTTGGCCAGAGCCAGGCTATACTTCCTCTCAGGCAGCCAGACGTTCCCGTACGACAGGACAGCCTTCCCTTCGTACTGTCCCGTCACCAGGATACGCACCTTCTCAGCAACCAATGGGACGGGCTGCTGACGGTCAGGTGACGTCAGCATCTTGATGAGGTCAATGAACCCGTCATCTCTCTCCTTGTGAGTGTTCATTAGGTAACCTGTGGGCACAGGACCAATCAGAGGGCAGGATTTAAACATCAGTCAACCAATCACAGGCAATACAGCAAACACCATGATCACACTTTGGACCAATCGGATGTTCCTATTACCAATCTTTTTCAGCACTGTGTACAAGAAGTGGGTAACATCCCAGGCTATTCCAGCACCTGAAAATGAAGTTCTTCAGTGTTCCCAATGAAAAGTGCATTGTTTTAAACCAAATTGCATTTCTTGTGAATATATATAGAATACAACACGGGGTATTCCATATTGCCTGAGGTATCAGCCCAAAGGGCGGAGGGCGATCTGACTCGTGGGAGGGCTGGGACCGAGGGTGATGCGAAATACACCCTATTATATTTCATTGCCATGCAAGAAAACAGACATTTCAATGCGAAATGTGCCAAAATTTGGTGTCCCTTAACCCAAAAAATGCAACATCAACTTAAAAACATCCAAATCCTGTATTTGAACTTTTAAAAGCAGCGTACGCGGTTAGGGCGAAATGCGTTCAAATCATTCTATGGAAGCAATGGAAGCCCAGGCCATACCATAAAGTATGGCCCGGATGGGAACACTGTTATCGAAGGTTATCACAGCCCAGGTATGATATAAATGTACTTACCGATGAAAGCCCAGACAGTACTGGCCTGCAGCATGCAGTAGTTTGCTCTCTGCTTGATGGAGCGTTCGATCATGGCCTGCAGCACGTGTTCCCTGCGCTGCAGTAGACTGCAGTGGTGCTGCTGCAGGGTTAGCACAGCTGGGCTTACTGCGGCATCTGCAGAATTGATAAAGGGACATCAGGGCCTCAAAAAGATGGACAAAGAATGAAGCTTTTTTGTTATATAGAAGTGCAATGCGGAAAGCTGATTGTACAACGTTTCAACACTCAGGTGTCAAATCATGGAGCTAGAAAAGGTCAATCAGCTAATGAGAAATTTATGTCCCTTGCAGGGGTCCACACACACAAAAAAAAACAGGGAAACAGGAAACACAAACATTTTTTCCTAGGCACAATTAAGCATTTTGAGAGTCAGTAGGACAATATGATGAGGCTGTACCTAGCTGTCCCAGGTCCACCATGGCCCCACTCTTGGCCGCCTGTCTGGCCTTACTGTTGGAACAGTAACACAGCACCTGGCACACCACAGCACGGGACAGCAGGGCGGGGTCGTAACCAGGGGCAACCAGGCTCAGCAGGGACGGCAGGTGAAGTCTTGTCCTCTTCTTGGTACTCTGGAAGAAGGAATTTAAGGTCAATAAAGTACATAAGGCCATGTTGATTTGATTATATGGATGACATACAAGATACAAGATACAAGATGTCTTTATTGGAAATCGCAGTGTTGCCACTGAATTAAAACCAATTTACATTTCAAAATAAGGAATTCATTAAAAGCTGGAATTCATTAAAGTTCACAAATATGGACAAATTATACACACACATTACAAAAAGAGGCAATTGCAACCTCTGGGACATCCTCTGGGAACCCCAAAACTGATGCGAGCGTGCGAATAAAAAAAGTTAGAGCGACTGAGGTCTCTGAATGGCCAAAAAAAAAGTTGGAACTGGTACTAACGGTTTGGGTCTTCCTCTTCTGGGTCTTCCCATCCGTATCATCATCATCATCATCATCATAGCCATCATCAGATTCCTCCTCACCATCTGCATCCACAGTGGTACCCAATGACATCTCCTCTGTCTCAGGCCCTTCATCTGTGTGAAAAGATTCACAAACAAGACTGGCAATGAAAACATACATTGTCATGGCGACGGTGGTTGCTGTTAGGGTTATTGTTTGCATGGCACTGCCATGATTACATGATTTTGAGGAAGCCTTGTATGCTACCCTCCTCCGAGTGTATAGTGAACGAGCCCCGGGGTCACAGAAAATACATGTAGGGCATCCGGGCAGACAGGTTTTCCCAAGGGTTTCCAGGAATGTGGGCACGTCAACAAACAGAGCTGGGAGACATTCCTGTGGACATTCCATGCCTGTGGACAAATTGCCTGTACAATTCCTAGAATTCTTGCGAATGGCACACAATACTGTACCATTAGGCTCCTCCCTGAGATGTCGCCAAAAAATCACACTACATGTATTTGATAAACACAGTTCATGTGAATTATCTTGTTGTGTTTCTTACTGTAAAATTCTGTGCATATTCCTGACTGTCACTTCCTTCCATCCTGTATGGTGACCATTTTGACTTACAACCTGACCTTCTTGTCAGTCTTTGGTTACACGATTCCCATTTAACTTCTTGTGAACCTACTGTATTCAAATAACGTACTACAGACACACAAGCAAACAACCAGATTAGCACACAGATAAAAACCTCCAAGTCTGCCTACAAATATTGAACAAATTTGTTTCGGGTTGGACATTAAAAGTTCATGAAGACATCCCACACAATAGAATTATAAATTAGAATATTAAAATCTTTTCCCCTTAACCTCTCTAGCTGTTGTGGGTTACAGACTTATTTTCCTTCCTAACCTTCCTCCACGGTGCTGTACATTGTCTTGATGGCCTGCTTGACTTCAGAGATCCACCTGTCTGGGGCAAGCCCACTGTTCCTGTCCAGCTCACTGAAGCAGTACTGCGAGGACACCCAGTGGTTGACAAAGGCAATGCAGCTGGGGAGAGCAGCAAGCTGTGGGGTCAGTCTTGTCTGCAGCTTGTGGAGGAGCTGAAATCAGAAGAAATCTTCATGAAGTCTTTGTCTGTAAAAAGTTTAAAAGTAGATGTCATTTCTTCACCTAGCTAATTGTTTCTTCCATATAGAATTCCCTCCAAATTTTGAGAAGAATGCTCATGAAAGAAATACAGAAAATCAGGGAAAAGTCATATCATATTGAAACAGTTTGAAAATGTCTTATGATATATATATTGCTTAAATTTGAAACAATCTACTATTAAATTTCATTCTTCTTTTTGTAAGACCTAGGGAAAAAAATGTTGTGTTTCCTGTTTCCCGACCGACCCTAAAAATACCTACCGACCCTAGACTTTTTTAGGGGGTGGACCCCTGCAAGGGATATGAATTCAATTTTTTGAGCTGATCAACCTTTTCTAGCTCCATGATCTGACACCTGAGTGCTAAAGGTTGTACAATTGGTTATCTAACATTGACATTGAAAATAAAAAGTGTCCTTGGGCAAGTGTTACTTTGTAAAACTGTATTGTATAAGTTGGACCTCTACAAAGACATCACTGAAGTCTAAAAAAAGATAATCCCTACCTACCGACCCTAATTTTTCAGGACTGAAACTGGAAACACAACATAATTTTTCCTAGGCCTAAGATTATGACTTTGGATGCTCAAAATAGTGAATAGGTTTTGAACATTTTTAAACCTACCTGTGCCACTATGTTGAGCATGGATTGTGTGACAACTTCAGGGTTGTACTCGTCCTTCTTTGCTTCCTTCTCTCCCTCCATCTGAGCACCGACACTCTGAGGTCCAAAGTCTAGCCAGCGTGTCACAACCTTCTTAGCAGCTGTCAGGTCATCCTTCTTGTTCTGCAAATTAAACAGAAAATCAGAGATTCCTTAAGTGATTCAGAATAACATACATTTAAACATGCCAAGGAGACCACCTCTTTAAGCTGGCCACCTGTCCATGGTGACTGCTTTTTCTCGGTCCCAAAAATTTTCCCCATTGAAACAAGCATTAAGCAACCTGTCCAAGGTGACCACCTGGCAAACGCAACCGCGGCCGCTCTGAGTTGTGTCCTCTCAAGCCCTGATACTTGCCCATTGTGACCACATCATTTTCGATCATGTTGATTATTGATGATAACTAATGAGAAATCATAGAGAAACCTGCCAGTTTGCCTCGACTGCAGGATGATGTTTTTGTTTGACCCTCCTCACATGCATTTACAGCATTTGACAATAGAACATCTCGACTTGGAAACCATTTATGCCTCAGTCATGTTGTGAGATGACCCTCTTCAAGGAGACCACCTGTCCAAGGAGACCACTTTTCTTTGGTCCCCTGGGTGGCCGGCTTGGGCAGGTTTGACTGTACAATGTACAATGTATCTCTAAAGTCCAAACTTCATTAAGATCTATCTGGAAACTCAGGCTTAAATTTGTATGTGTAATTGTACATTGTGAATAATTTAAAAAAATAAATTACTTCTTATGAAGAGGGAACAGCTTGGATATTTTTCAGTACAGACATTTCATTAATCCGTTTTACTATGTTTTTTTTTAACTTTCTTTTTATTGACATTTCCAGAAGACATTATACACAAGAAATTTCAATATCTTGGTTGTGGGGTTGTGTGGCACAAACGGCAGAGTACTCAACTCAGAACAAAGAGGTCCCAGGTTCAAGTCCCGACATGCCACCGATCTTGTGTCCTTGGGAAAGGCACTTACCAGTAACACAACTTTCCTCAAGTGAAAATGAGTATTGTCTGTCCTGTATTTGTGTCCCACGTGTATTGTACAGTTGCAATTTCAATAAATCTAATCAAATCTTTACCAGAGGACATCCCAGCTTGTCCTTGGCCCAGACCTCCATAGCTCTGTCGACCTTTCTGCTTGTCTTGACCTTGACCTCTGGGGCAGTGACCCCTGCAGCAGGGTCGAACACAGGTGCATCCAGCTGGATGGGCTGGGTACTGTTACAGCTGGCCACCTGCCGACAGGTGCTGAGGAGGGCTTCTGTAGCGTCTGTGACTGGGGCTTCAGTCTGGGTGGCTCCTCCCTGAATCACACCTGGAATAAATAAATTTTGAAAAATGAACCTTCTAAAATGGCATTTCGTGCATTTTTGAGAGGATTTCAAAGAAAAAATCAGAGATAAATTTTTATTCAATGACAAAGGGAGCAGTTTTTCTACGATTCCAGTCCATCTTTTCAAGAAAAATCTTGGACCTTTACATAAAAAGTGGACCAAAAAGTGGACCTTTACATAAAAAGTGGACCAAAAAGTGGACCTTTGAGCCTTGTGGGGGGTTCCTTCGAACCCCCGAACCCCCCTGGCTACGGGCATGCTTACAGAGATCAATACTTCAGGGCCCAGGTTTATGATTGGATCTGTGGAGGGGAGCACTAAAGTCAATCTAGGGGCAATAGCAATCTGAGGGGCTCCGGGGGCATGTGGTTTAGTTTTCAGTGCGCCTTGTGTGTTTTCTTGCATAAGTTTTTCTATGGCTGCAGAATTTTCACATGCTTGGCACATAAGAGACATTAACAGGAATTAAATTAGGTCAAAGGTGCCAGAAAAGGTTATGTCATTTCCTGTCTTCAATTTGCTGCTATAGATATGATTGTTGCCTAAGGGGATCTTTGATTTCTTGTCATTAGGCCACACCAAGTAAATTTTATGGATGACGTCCTTTGGAGACCCTAAATCTAATGCGAGAGTGCGAAAAAAAAACAAGAAGGGCCCTAAAAAACAAGATGCCTGGATTAGAAATATACTAAGAGAGGACAAATGTTAGGACACAAATTGAATGAGGTGACACAGTGTAACAAGCAAGAAGTCTTTTATTCATCATCAAAACAGCAATAAATCAGGTGGAACAACAGTTGTCGTCCTGTCCTGTTTCCTTTCTTTAATCACATCTTCCCTTATCCCACTGTTGTGACTCTTTGGTCATACATTGTAGTTACAGGAAGCGGAATTTCTTGTTTTTTTTTCTAGGAACAGGCCAAAATCAATGCGTGCGCGGACGTCATCCTTAAAATTTACTTGGTGTGGCCTAATGAAAAATGCATACATGTATGTCGACAACTTTTATAATAAATTTTCAACATCCTACTCCAAACAAATATCTTTTCAAGCAATTCAGCTAAGTTGACCTTTGGGACAGTAAGTGAGTGTATTCCCCCAAAGCAGATATTGAGTATTATATTCACTTGGTATCATCTCCCATATGTCTGCTTTGAGATTGTTACATGTACTACCTTTCCACTCAACACATATAATAAGAGAACTATTTGAACCAAGGAAGTGTAAAAATCTCTTCCCTTGTTAGAAGTAACTGCAGACATCTCTAATTGGTATCTTTCAAGTTCAAAGATTGTAACTTACCCTTGCCAACCATATCTCCTTCAACTTCAAAGCAGCAAGTTCAAACTTTTGTTGTAAGTACACTGTACAGTATATCAGTGTTAGCATACACTACAGTAAGACGTTTGAACTTATCCTCCTTTTAACAAGTTTAACATTCATGTATTCTACTCATTTTCACCCTAGCATAACCGTTTAGACTCGAAATAGTTTGGCAGAGAAGAGTCACAGATATCTATGTCATCTACTGTACACAAAGTGCTCACAACTGCTCTTGGCAAAGACTAACTAGGAGTTCTCAGTAAACAACTCTGCTCTAGTACCATATCTGAAACTACATTCTGGGTTTCTGGCAGATTTTTAAACAAAGATATTACAGTACTGAACGACCACCTACACAGAGGCACATGCAAGCCCTGTGGAATTTTCACTGATGCCGAAAACAGTCCGTTGTTGATTGTGTTTCTAGAATGTACCTTTTGTTAACTTTGATGGGCAAATAGGGCAGAAGTCTACATAGGAAACGGTTCTCTGATTCTCAAGGCTATACAGTTACGGCCTCACAGCCTTTAACACAGATCAAATAAACTCCTGGCTTACAATTCTACCGCTGGAGTTTTTTGTTTGTGTTCGTTGCAAGGATAAATGAGGTATCTGAGCTCGTTTTCAGCAAATGGCAACAAACTTTGACCAAATCAGTGAAAACAAACTGTCTTTCAGGATGAGGATGCTCCACCCTTTTTTGTTAGCTCAAATTTGCTGCTTAGCACGTGGTGCATTTTAACCCAAAGGGACCATTGCCTAGTTTCTGCTATTACTCTCATATCCTCAGTATATCATATCAGGGACATTATATCTATCACTTAAATCAATCTCTAATTTCTGCTCTTTCTGTTCTTTCAAACAGGAAGATGACTAGGTTCAAGAGATCACAGCTTCTCATCTTCAAAGTATGGCACTCTGATTCCGTATTAAATGTCACGCAAATTTGCAGAACTGAAAACAGCAAATCATCTGCACTAAAGACTGTTCGGATCATCAGCAGTTGAGTAGAAACAACAGTAAGCTAGAAGTAGATAATACTAGATGATTCAGGACTGTCACGCCAAGTCGGTGAGTGTATAACAAAGGCATGACCCTACAGTATGGAATGCCAAACAATACCTTATAATACACATCCCCGTTCTACCCTACCCCATCTATCTAACCATGGACAGATATAGATTTTTTTACCAGAGGTCAAACCACTTTAGCTCGGAAAAATTCCAGCCATTCCACTCAACAATCCCTGTTCAGACAGAGTGCAGCCATCATAGGAGGATGCTGTCATCCTGAAGGTACTAAAGGCCTGTGTTTGCCCACTCCTTTTAATCTAATTACCGCCAATTATCAGCCTCTTGTCCCAACGTGTGCACCCACTTAGGATGAGATTGATGGGCCCTGGAGATGTGATAGGGGTTTTTGAGTGACAGGACAAGTGTCTCTCACTGTTGCCACCACTCCTGAACAAACCTCCCCGCAGACCCCATGCAGGGTCTCAGCATCTGTGAGATTCAGGCCCTGCCTTTTGTGACTTATGGACAGTCTCAAATCCTACATATTAATAGAAGGATTGGAGTAAATAGAACAGGGAGGGGACATATGCGTCATAGTTTGAAGATGACAGAAAAGAACCCTGCTGGTTGCATCTGCTGTTTGTGATTCTATGTTTTACCCATTTCGTACTAGACCTGCTGGGTAGGTATTGCACAGTAGTACAAGCACTTTGCTACTGTGCATATAAGGCTAACATCCAGACAGTCCTAATGTCTAGACCTACATGTATTGCTTCCTTTTTTTTTTTGAGACGATGTACTGTGAAAGAGATATTCCAATCTTACCTCCCAATATTTTCTGCTTGAATTCACATGATCTACCTACGGCACACTACATAATATACTTACCAGTATACTAGTAGTTTCCGACTAGTGTTTCCAACTATAAAAATACAAAACAGAACTTGAACTACAACGTACACTGACCTGTCTGTTCATTGAGCTCATTCCATGGTAGAGAAAACGGTGTATGTGTTAATGTTCTATATTTGAACTGGTTTAACCAAGCCTAAAGGTCTGGTACTAGTAGGAGAATGCACTCTACTTGTACTCTGTTTTGATTTGGTCACCGAAATTTGGGCTAACTGTTCAGAGTGCTGAGTGTGTGTTGGAACTGTACTCCCTACTTGTTGTTGTTGGGAGAAGATCTCTTGATCATGTGGTCTACAAGCCGCACTCTGTCTTTGATGAGAGAAGAGGAGGGACCATTTGTGTCTGTGTTTGTTGACTTGTCATCAGCCTATTGGACAGCTTTCAAAACATCCACTTTTCTGGGGGTTTGCTCTATCATATTATGTATGACCACCATTATGAAATCTTCATTTCTGCCCAGCCCTGCAGTGTAGGATTATTGGCAGCCATTACAATTGTGACCCGGTACATAAAAAACAAGGGGACAAAAGGATAACCGAGAAGGGAACATAAAACAACTGATTTTATGTGTGCTAAAGATGGGACTAGTGCGTTAGTAATATTTACATATATTCATTCCTGGCTATTACACAGGTCTTAAGGCCATGGTATACAAAATGTAACATAATGTCTACGAACCCGTAGCAAGCTATACCATAAAACATCATTCGCTTGTGCATGGCAAGAAAACATCAGAAATTGATTGCTAAATAATTATAGATTGACGAACCGTTGGTCGTTTTGCCGTTAACTGCAACATTAAAAAAATGTCACATTAAACGTTTGATTACTGTCAAAGGAGGAGGTGAAATATTCTACAGACGTCCAATGATGTTGATATGAAACTTTATGAATCATTATTGCATTCCTGTCCAGATGGACTAAATGTGCATATATGGTGCAGAGCATGCAATTCATGAGTACAGAACAGTTCAACAATAATACTGTATTCTAATGCTAAATATTAAAATCCTATCTATTAAGACAGCACTGGGTACTATATTAGATGAAAAGTTTAAGGTGGTAGCGTGTCGTAATTTTACCTTAAATGTCCATTGAGTTGTAGAATAGTGGAGTTTCCCCCAAAACAGGGCAGTCAGAATAGTACGACCGTCCCATCTATTTAACATCAACCCAGGATGGTGCCAACAACTGGATGACATTTTCTGCTCAGTAGCGGACACATTAGTCCTAACCAATGGGGTTTCCCACCCCGTCAACACTCCGGAACAGCGTTTGAAGTAAACCCAGACCGTGTTTTCTTGCTCTTTTTCAGGTCGACAGAGATTTGAATCCAAGCCAGCATTTCATGCTCCAAGTAGATGTGTATGGCTTTAGTTTTATTTTTGTCTTCTTGCATAGAGAAGTATATTTTTGGACCAGAGAATTCGAAAGCAGCGCATAATTAGACAATGACAATGAACTTTATTACATATTCACGCCCTACATGGGCAAAATGCACTACCTTAGATAAGGCCACACCAAGTAAATTTTATGGATGACGTCCTTTGGAGACTCCAAATCTAATGCGAGAGGGCGAAAAAAAACAAGAAGGGCCCAAAAAAACAAGATGCCTAGATTAGAAATATACTAAGAGACAACAAATGTTAGGACGCAAATTGAATGAGGTGACACAGTGTAACAAGCAAGAAGTCTTTTATTCATCATCAAAACAGTAATAAATCAGTTGGAACAGCTGTTGTCGTCCTGTCACATTTTTGCAGGCCTGCAGAAACAAAGCATAAAAGGCAAAATTAGTTGCTGATTAACCCTTTGCATGCATTACTGCATTTCTACCTATGCAAATAGTCTATAGGAGCTTTTGAGAAAGAATATCAATAAAGGTGGAACCAAACAAAATATGTTTAGAGCTATTCCACATAAGTTGCATAATGTATTTAAGTAGGTAACAAATGTATGCCTACCTGACAAACAGGGTTTATTGTCTGGTATGCAGCAGTCTTCTCTGCCGGTATGGGCAGCGTTTCCTCCTCGCCGCAGTTCCAGCACACCAAAGGCAGCATCGTCTTCATCACCCCTGACTTCAATCTGGCTGACTAGTAGTATAGTACTGTGCTACTGGTGAAGTGCATGTCACTGCCCTACATGAAACAGGTGGAAAAATATGGAACAATAGTCAATTGTGCTAAAATCCAACTCTTCAGAAAAAAATAATTTTTTTTCAACATAAAGGTTTAGGTTATATGTTGTAGTTAAATGTACGTCTTTACTGTCCCCAAAGTGCCTTAAATTTAAAGGGTATATTCTGCAACAATCCATATCAAATGTACCTCATTACTCACCTTTGTTGTTATTGCTACATTGTTGTGTGCTCCCAGTCCCAGCGTAGGCTGGAAACATCCACTCCTGCTGACCTTGTTCTCTTGATGCTTTCATCATACCTGTATACATATGTACATGTACATGTGAAAAGAAAAGTGAACCTTCTGTTTCTAGTTCACAATGTGTCTTAATGCAATCAAAGAAATGGAAGAGCTGACAACGTTACTAAATTGGATATCAAAGTTAAAATGATGGGGAAAAAGAATTCTTAAGAAAGACTAAAAATTCCCCCCCCCCAAAAAAATAGTACTTCAAAAAGAGCTTGAATGCGTAGTTTGTTTACAGCTATAGATGCCAAAATACCTTACAAATCCGACTGAAAATTAGCTATTTACGTGCCAAATGTGGACCAAAAATTTAAGAATAAAAAAAAACACACATATTTTGCCAACATCAAGTATAAATAACCAGAAACGAATAAACGATCATTATCCATACAAAATACATGCAAGGAGCCTTGATACAAGTATGCATAATTTTATACTCCCCTTCTAGGAATATTCACCCGTGTTTTTTCCGTACAAGGTACTCGATTCAAAACAGACTTTTCATACCTCAAAAGCAGTCTTAGGCCTAGGAACAGCTTCAGTCGTAGCAGCTGTCTTGTCGATCACCATACGGATGAAACACCCGAACTGCAGGAGTAAAGCTCAATGCCTCTCGCGACCTTCTCGTCATTGCAGAAGAATATTTGCACTGTAGCTGATCTTGAGAAAACTTGCTTGAAATTGTATGGTCGAAAATCACTCGCCGCTACAAGTCCCTCGTACAGTTGCGCGAAAGATAGCTCTCCCTGGCCGACATCGAGCGCGCACCAGTCAACAACAATGTTTCCGCACGCTTTTACGACCTGAACGCTCACATAGAATAGAATATTAGCGACCAAGGGTGGTGAGCCCACCATCTTGCTTCTTTGAAATGTGGCGCGCGGACTCTTGTGCGCACGTACACCATCATTTTGCGGCACATGTGCTCTTTACCCGGCCCGGTTTCACGTCAATCTGACGATTTGCAGCACTGTCGTGACTCTTTGGCCCTAGTTACAGGAAGCGGAATTTCTTGTTTTGTTTTCTAGGAACAGGCCAAAATCAATGCGCGCGCGGACGTCATCCATAAAATTTACTTGGTGTGGCCTAATGGTGTCAGCTTTGACAGAATTGTACAAACATAGATGCATTTTTCATCAGGTTGATTGTGATTCAATACAATTATACAATAACTACTTTACAGAGAGTTTCAACAAATTAATGAATGGCTGAAAAACACACTTTCAGTCTCTCTACAAGGAACATCTCTAAAGATACATCTCATTGCAACCTACATGTATGCCAAACTGCCATACTGTTAGCACATAAAGCTAACACGGCTGTATGAATGAAAATTTAACATACCCTCTGCACTGCCTCCAACTGCTGCCCCCTCTGTATTTTCCTCCTCTTGCTCCTCCACTACTACTTCCCCGGTGATGGTGACAGACTGCTTGGTTCCCTCTGGTGTGCAGAAGCGGTCCTCTCCTTCCAGCTTCATTTGCATATCAACCTCCCTACCAGCACTGAGGAAGAGAGAAATATACATTAGAGGGTTAGGCTATGCCTTCCAATACTGTGCCCTATTAGACCTTTCATACATAGAACTTGTAGACTTGTAAAAATGTTTAGGTTCAAGTCCAAAAAACCTGAACATCCGGAACTTTTAAGTTCCGGACTTGCAAAAATTAATCATGTCACCGATTTGTTAACTACCTGAAATCTTCAATGGTCAGAAAATTTGTGCTGCAAAATGAAGAAAACATTGCCATTGGGCGTCGTCAAGTGTCAACCTCCGTAAATTATGTGGCCACAGTTTTGCACAGATATGCCCAAAAAACAACATATCTTGCTTCTAACCCCTGGTAGTGCAGTGCTCGCTACAAAATTTTGCGGTAAAGATGCCCCATTTTCCATTGAGAAATGTTGACTTAGAAGTCCCTTCTGTATTTTGTAACCTAAACCTCTGGACATGAATCCGGATCTGGACCTGAACGTGGGTTTAGGTACGCAGCACTCGACTCCTTAGCATGCAAATATATATATAAAAATTATACAGTAACTGAAATATTTCTCACCTCAGAGCGACAAAGTCAAAGAGTTCCTGCAGCTTGGCCTTGAGTGCCTCTGTGCCGTCGCTGGGTTCCGTGTAGCGGAACAGTCCCGCGGTCGTTCCTGTGTTCCGCAGACGGCCCAGGAAGTTGTAGTCGTGCTGGGCGCTGAAGCCAACCACGTGAACTATCACCTAGTGAGAAGAATATTTAATTGGTCCCCTGGTACTAAATGTGCACACTGGAATGTGTTATGTAAAATTTTGCCAAGGACATACATGTATATATAGAATACAACATGGTGTATTTCATTCCATGAGAGGGCTGGGACCGAGGATGATGCAGAATACACTGTGCTGTATTTTATGTCAGTTCCACCCGAGAAAACATCCATTTCAATGCAAAATGTGCCAAAATTTCGTGTCCCTAAACAAAAAATTGTAACAACCTCAATTCCAACATCCGAATCTGGTATTTGAATTTTTGAAAGTGGCACAAATGGCACATGTAAAATGCAGATTATTCTATGGAACCTTGTGTGATAACCAAATAGAACCCTGTGTGATACCGCTAGTTATCACATAGACTGAAATGTCCGTATCAATTCTATAGTGGCCCAGGTATGACTTAAAAAAGCTTATCAAAATCAAGTGCAAGACCTACCTATGAATTCTTCTAGAAGGGCAGATGAGGTGTAACAGTGGGGGGGGGGGTGGTTATAAGCGCTACCAACAGATCCGGCAAAAGGGGTCTAGACCTTTTAGCGGAGAGGTTAGAGTGTCTGGTTATGAAGCTCTGGTGCTCGGGAGGTCGCGGGTTCGAACCCCCGTCCGGGACCAGAAGCACTGTAAGAAACAGGAGGAGACAGTAAAAACCCCACTGGTCCCGGGCCGAAATTCAAACCCACAACCTCCCGGGCCCCAGGCAGACACTCTAACCTCTCCGCTAAAAGGTCTAGACCCCTTTTGCCAGATCTGTTGGTAGCGCCTATAACACCCACCCCCCCACTGTTACACTACTCACCAGGAGAATGTACACTGTAGTTTAACGTTTCCCCACCTCGTGACCAAGTCTGGCCAGGGCGTCCTTCCAGCTCCTGACCGAGCGATTGATGTCGTCTCCACGGTTACAGGTGTCGGCTCCGTCCGTCATGAACACAACAACTGTCTTAGAGACTGGGGTACCTGGAGATATGGACAATACATGGGTATTAATCAGAAGGCCACAGCAAGTAAATTTTATGGATGACATCCTCCAAATCTAGTGCAATAGGGCAAAAAAAACAAGGCGGGCAAAAAAAAAACAAGATTCCTACATCTTCAAATTTTTGACATCATAAACCATGTCAAACAATAAATGATACCTATATTGTGGTAAGTTTAGTGCCAACTATTAAAACATCCACTGAAACAGCTTTCAAACATAAAAGTTTTCAATCATTATGGGTTCACCACACCACGAAGTGGTGTGGTGAAACCATATTGCTTTTTCTGATGTTTCTTCTTCTTCTTCTTCTCCTCCTTCTCCTCCTGCCATTTTTTAAATGGATTCAGCTTCTTCATTTTAGGGCCCAAGGTCCTGAAATTTGGTATGGAGGTACAGTGGGCAAATACCCCTAGGCGTTTTTTAAATTATTGTGATACAGGCTTTTAGAATGGTTTTATTTGAGTTTTTTGGCTGTG